AAAAAAAAAAAAAAAATATATATATATATATATAAAAATTCATTCTGTGGTGCGATACTAAAAGAAGTTAATATATAACTTGCTGCCTCTGACAGAGGTCAGGGATTGTCTGTGACAGTGGTCCACTGAACTTCTGTTTTCTCTGGTGTGAATTATCCATGATTTGTTTTCATCTAAATGCATACAAGTATGAACTGAAATGTAACAATGAAATAGCTAAGTTTAGCTATGACCATGCCTTCTGGTAACGTCCGCCCGTCGAAGAAAGTCATGGGCTTCGTCAGCTTCCGCGATGTCCCAGGGACCGGCGGATAGAGCCGGAGACACTCCTTTATACACATGGTGGTGTATGGGATTTTGCTCAGATCATCCCTAATTTAAAAAACACAGTCAATGTTTGCATCTTTTGAAAAATGATCAGAAAAAACATGCAAATCCCTTGATACATGAAAGGGCTGCAAGACACTTGCATTTTACTCCAGTTTTTAGTCAAACAAACTATTTTTTATAGAAAAAATACTGATACAAATGAGTTTATTGTATTCCTACACTGAAATAAAACGAGAATGAAAGGATATCAGTGAAATATTTTGGGTTCAGGGTCGCCTACCCCCGTTCTACGATATTAAAAGCTGAAGAATATTATGGATGCGATTTTGGTCATCAGGAAATCCTACCATTCCATGGTGTCCTTCTCTTTAAAGACGTCCATGACCTCAGCCCGACACTTTTCCTGGTGCTCGGGGTGGCCGGCCAGGGCATAGAATATCCAGGAGATCCCGCTGGCTGTCGTGTCGTGTCCCTCGAACATGAACGTGTCCACCTCGGCGCGGATGTCTTCGTCTGACAGCCCCTGCTGGTCCTCGTCCTGCAAGAGATGGCTATGCTGTAGAAGCAGTACTGTCATCTTAACAATTTTACATTTCCCATCTACAACAGCCAGGCTGTTTTTCCCCCACATATTAAATACCAGTTGTTTATGATTAATTCTTTAATTTGTTACATAGGGAAAAAATGGTCAGTGAACTGGTTGGTAAACTGGTACTTGTGGTCATCATAAAAAAAGAATTCCTGACATCTTGCTGTGTATGTTTTTGTAGTTTCTCTCCAAAATAAACAGTAACATCATTGTTTATATAACCTACAGTAAATCTACAGCTGGAATCAGGACGACACATTGGAAACGTACTGTTGCACACAGCAAGATATCAAGAAAGTCCAGGTTTCTCTTCTTCTGTTCTGCTCCAAGTTCCCTTTCATTCTTCAGAGCCTCCTTCCTTTGTTTAATAACCTCCTCTGAAGTGAAAACAACAAGGAAACCACTCACATGTCACGTGTTTATCTTTAAAACCCAGGGCTCCTTACCCTTGACTTGAAATTGACAGTCTACAAGGTCACACGTTAGTATGCTTACAGGTTTATGGAGCATTTACCTGCTACTGACCTGTGTGCTCATGTGCTATCTTGCAGGCCTTCCGGAATCTGTAACCATGTGGGCTGAGGTAGAAGATTATGTCACTGTGGTAAGGAAAGGTGCGAAACCGGAGGTTTATAAGGTAACTCAGCTCGTAGACGGCCTGAATGTAGGAGTTGGTGCCACTAGAGGGGAAGG